ACTCAAAGTCATAAAAGGAAATTTGAATCATGTTACTTGTTCCTGGAAAGAAAAACTAAGCATTTAAAGATCTCAATTCTCACACCACCATCAAATTAACCTATATGCTAATTCAAATCCAATAAAAACATGTTTTTAATGTTTTTGAAAGTTAACCAAGTAAACTAAGTTTTTCTTGAAGAAATATATGGAGTAATGAATGAAATAGTGAAGGTCAGAAACATTTGTAAAAGAACGCATGAGAACATAAACAGATTCTGAGATTATTTAGGAATTAAGATGCTGGTACAAAATACAAACACAAAGAACAGAAAGTCCAAAACAGTTCCAAACTTAGCACTGAGAGGAGTAATTATTCCAAAAGCCTACTCTAAAATTAGCAACTTTGAAAAAAAGCTGAATTAGCTCACTACCTCTGACTATTCACTAAAATAAATTTGAAAACATAGGTGATCTTTGAATAAAGATCTTAAGTTAATAATTATACAATAAAGTGAAGATTAATTTCATTACATAAATATTTTAAACTTGTATGTACCAAAACCATAGTTAAGTAAAATTAAAAGCAAATTATTAAGAGGGAACAGTATTAACAGATTTCAGTATTCATTTTTATCTAAATATATTCAGTACAAATATTAGAGCAATTTATTAATATGCATCAAAAACCTTAAAAAGGTATGTACTCTTACACCTAGCCATTTTATCATTAAAGATTTAAAAAATTATACCTAGCCATTTTATCTTAGAGATTTAAAAAATTATGAATAAAAATATTTAAGTAGACATGATTCCATTATAGTACTACCATAACTTGAGAAAACTTAATTTTAATAAATATAATCATTGTTGAGGTATAATGAAAGTCACTTAAAGGCAGTCAAGTAAGTTTCCAAATAATAATATTCACAGTGTGATCAAGTTTTTTTTAAGTATTAAACTAACACAGACCTGTCGTAATTCAAAACATTGGCTTAATGGTTTCTCTGAGAAACAGATACTGAGTTTCTTTCATTTCATGGCATTTCTGGATATTTCCAAATTTATCATTTTTCAATAAGGAAACACTTAAACTTTTGAAAGATTTTCTGAGATGAGTAACCCAAGCCTCATTAACAAGGTAGCCACACAGCAAGGCTTTGACTGATAGCCATTATATCTTCTATGAACTGACTGATGTAGAAAACTAAGCCCTCCCAATAAGATGACTAAAAACATCTCCCAATTAGTTAAAGTAAGGACTGACCAAAACAAATTTTTTTTTTTAAGAATAAGAGTTTTTCTTCAATCCTCTTTATTAAAGCCCTAAGTGGTCAGAGGTGGGTGTGTGCCAATTCTTCTCCACACAGAAATTTTTCTTTTTGTAACAGGGTGGACCCAGGAAAAGGGGAGGTTTCAGGTTGCCTGCCCCACCCAGAAGGAGGGTGGAGCTGAACAGAGAAGAGAAGGAATCTGAAGAAGGAAGCAGGATGGAGAGCCAGAAGGAGACCTGAGGGAGTCACATGGAATAGAGAGAGATATATAAAGAAACTGTGCTTGTTTCTTGGCCCTGGACTGGTTGAAACAAATGTGGGTGAGAGACTCATGGGAAGGTTATGGCAGCATTTATCTTGATTTTGCTCTTTTCCTCTCAGACTTGTCTGGCCATTTTTGACCCTTTTCTATGGATCCCCTCCAGAAGGTGCTTTAGACTGGTGATGGGCTTTCAGGCCTTGGTTTGGGCCAATCCCTTTTGGGTGGACTTTTACCCACGAGGGGATGAGTAACTTCAGGTGTTTGATTTAGAAATTATGTTCTTTGTTGTTCAGTATTGTACATTAATTATATTAAAGTTCCTTTCCATTAAAGGTCTTATGTTTTGTCTTGATGCAGCAGATGGCAGAACCTATTCAGAACAAGCAGATTTGGGGGGCTCATGGGTGCCCCTCTCTCCCTGCCCTGTAACAGATTCACCTAAAACTACTATGAGGGATTCCAAACACGAGGCAGAACTGCACCGATAACAATGTAAGACAGCTGAGCACAAGTGAGAGGAGAAAAGGCTTCTCTCTCTTTGGAGCAGAGCAGTTCAGGTACAGCAGGTATCACGGGGCTCCTCCTCACTGTGCACAGAGGTCAGCCCCAGCAGCTGTGGCTGTCCCATGAACTGGCAGCTCTACTGGAGCTGCTGGAGCTTCTATGACAAAACATCAAGGCTCTGTGGGCTCCTGGATGTGGGCAATCTCATGGGAATGGCGTAGGACTGTAGTGAAAACCAAGTGTTCGGCAGCCGAGGGAGACCATCTATCCTAAACTGCGGAATGACAGTTTAGGATAGTTTGGGACAGTTTGGGAGTGGCAGGAGAGAGCACGTGCAGTGAGAAGCCAGTCACAGTAGGCGTGACAACCCAGGCTATGAGGGCTCAGAAGCCATAGTCTAAAAAGACAGCTTCGTGTGTACAGACTCATTTAAAGCGTGAAGAGCGAATTAGAGAATTAGGTGATTTCTTAAGCCCTCAGGTAAAGATCCCGAATGTTATAAAGAGGGAAGTCCAAGCGATGGCAAGTCTGGAGAGGGCTAAGGGCAGCTTCAGGACAGTGGGAAGTATGATGAAAACGATCATCCATCTCCCAGTCCTCTGGTGGGAGTGGACTTCGATGCTAACAGCACACAATGCCCACAGCATACCTGAAATAGCAATACTAGTCCCATCTTCCCATTCCACCCATTTAATAAATAATATACTGTAGGAAAGATCAAGAGCACTGAAATTGTGAAAGCCTAAGGCTTCAAACACCCTGAAATATCTTGGATCTAATACCCATCCTCCCTATACAGTGGAAAAATTTATGTTTTTCTAAGTTTGTTAAATTCTAAGTCAAGTGTTTGTAAGGCTCCAGTTTTCTAAAGTTTAAGACAATCACCAGGAATACATTAACTTCCTCCAAACTAGCATAAATGACAAAGCATCTATATGTTAATACTGAGTAATGGAGTAAAAAAATAAGTTTCCGATAGGAATGGGGAATCTTACTCTGCTCCAAAGTATGAGCAGAGTAATGAGCACCAGACCTGGAAGCATGTAAAATAAGGCACAGTACAGGCACCCTTGGGAACTGGCTGGGGACCTAGGTGCCTTCTTCACAGGACACTTTCTGTTGCACTGCATTATTAGTCCATCACAGTGCAACCAGGAGAATCGTTGTAATACAACCGTCCCTTTCCCCTCCCTCATTTCATCAAGACTTAGCTCTAAGAAGGCATTTCATTCCATAAAAACATTGGGCAGGACTCTCCCTGGTTGTGCAACTGGTTAAAGCAACTCATCATGAAGCTCTCCGAAGCCACTGCAACACGAGTTTGATTCCCAGCCAGGGAGATGACCCACATGGCATGGCAGGCCTCTCCTGACCCATCCACTGCTCCCCTCAGCAGTGTATTTCATCAGTCTACCTGTACTATTCCCCATTCTGTCTCTGGGTGAATCCTCTCACCCACCACACCTCTGGCCTGTACACCAGTTCTATAAGCATAAGTAAATAAATCTTAAAAAAAAAAATTGGGCAAACCCACCACAGCTCCTCTAAGCTTCAAGTAATGGAAGATAGAAATGAAGACTTGAGAATCTCTGCAGAGCCAGAAATGTCCCATAATAATCACCTGAAGTGAAGTGAAAACCCATTTGTGACATTTAGTTCTTTCTCTACTCAGCAAATGCTCCCCTTTACAAGGGAGAATGCCAAGATATACTGGTAGGAACTATTGCCAGTATAAGCTAGGAATGAGAACTCATAGGATTATGGCTTTTCATTACCAAGCAAACACCAGTTCTTTTTATTATGTAAGCTGTGCCAGAATATGAGAAAAATTAAGTTGGTAGGTGGTTCAGTATTGCTATTATAGCATTCCAATTTTAGAAAATCAAATGTAGGCAAAAAAATTGAAATAGCTCCATATGTTTTCACTAAGGATAGTTTCCATTCTTTGGGTTAAGCATTGCAGAAAAAGTGTATGAAGGAGTTATGTCTTTCAAAGTCTGAAGTTTGCATTTGTTAAATGGAGGCTAGCAACAATCAGGTGGAGAACTTGAGATCTACCTGCTCACATACTCTCAGACACTAAAACAATAGAATGATATGGTGTAAAACCTATATACGTTGTTAAGCCATCCAAATGTGGTCCACTTAGTCCATGAAAGAATAGGAAACCATAGGAGTAGCCACGTATAACCAGAAGATTGATCTTAATATACACATATATATAAGAACCAGCAAAATATAAACCTGCCTAGGTAATTTGCAAGTATCAGGAAGAAGACAAAAAGTTTCATCAGAGATGTAAACAGACACTCCCATGTGCAATTAAGTTATACCACCTTCTCATTCAGTTTTCATTTAATGTCATGTGAACCTTTCAGTTAAAGAATAAAAGCTCTAGATTCTCATTCTATTTAAATTATTTTCAAGCAAACCTCCTGGGAAGGCTTCCAGAGAGTTAGATTGCTTTAAAATTGGTCATGCATTAAAGCAAGCTTTGTCTAACCAAAGTGAAAGAGTAACTGATAGGGTGTCTGTACATTCACTCTGCACAAGTTTCCTGTAGCTCAAAAGTATTACTCAAAAGACAAACGCAAATCAGATTACAGCTCCGGAGAATCATACTCTGTATCTCCAGCAACCCTGGCAGCTCCCACAGCGTTATACGAGACCCAAGCACCTGCTTCCTGAGGAACTTGTTATCTAACTTCTCCATTAGTTCCCCAAAGGTTCTCCTCCTTTACACATGTGCTCCCCCTTCATTCGTTCCACGGTATTTACCTTTCATCTCTGAGAGATGCATTAATGATAAATGGGCAAAGGTTCACATTAATAGCACAAGCCAGTAAGAGAAGCCGTCAGCATTACATTTTACAATGAAAACAAAACAAACAAACAAAAAATTCTGAGAGTCTACTGAACTAGAACTAAAAGGCACTGCAGCGAGAGATTCATGCCTGGGACCTGGCTTCTGTTCACATTACCTGCTTCAGTGTACTTCAAACCCACTTTTTCTTCTGCATCTTTTGTCTTTGGTGGTGGCCAGATAGCTTGGAGTCTGCCAGGAGTCCTATCGTCCTGCTCTGTGGGGCTGTGGTCGGGCTGTTGAAAAAACGAGCAAAGAAAAGAATAAATAGCATGAAAGGTGTCCAGACACAATTAATGCCTGAAAACATACATGCTACCTCAAACTCTTAAAATTAATTTTAATAGCCAGATGCACAATGCCGTCATTCACTGTAATTGAGACAGTAAAGCGACCAGTTGGCCTGAACATAAAAACAACAATGCAGTGGCAATATTACACAACACTTAATAGGTGATTTTGAACAAAAATTATCATCAAGTCAAATGTAATTTGAGCTGAAAATACAAAATGCAAGAATACCAATGTGTTCATTAGGTATGTGTATGGGAACATTTATCAATACAAATACAAAACATGGAAAACTTACATTTTCCATGAACATTAGCTTTAGCTCAAGATACACATCTCTGAGCACTTCACATTGCAAATTAAATTATATTTTTTTAGTTTTTAACTACAACCCATGGCAAAAGTTTCAGAAAAAACAGCATTTTAACTGATCAAATATAATGAGGGGGTGATAATTGTACTTGCTGTTCTCATGAAATGTTAAGACCTAGTCGACAGGCCCTTGCTAGTCTTATAAATTACTGGAATTAATTTTTTTAATAACAGTTTTCATAACTGAGTGACCATGTACTAACTTCACACGTTTTCAACAACAATACAAAATAAGGATCATCATGTTTTGCTGATGAGAAGGCTGAAACTCAGAGATAATGAAGGCATCCGGGTAGAAAAGAGCAGAGTTAGAATTAATATGCAGGCCACATTCTAAATCTAGAACTCCATCAGGATGCCTTGTAACCAATACACAATATTTTGATCACACCACACCATGTATTCTGCCACATAGCTGATTTTCAAAGGAAAATTATTGTTTTCACATAGGTATAATTAAGTGGTAAGGAAGCCTGACCATATTTTCGTTTTGCTTGGCTTTCTTCTGCTGCTTAATAGAAAAAGAACATTTACTATTAATGTCTAAATTCTGACTGACAGCTTCCCTTTCCTACCCACACATCCTTACATATATCCCTCTTGTAACAATCCAGAAAATACAAAAAGTACTTCTGTTCAATTCCACATTCCTTACAAGGACAATTTCACCTAAAACTGGTACTTACTTTGACAGGAAACCCAGGAAGAAAAACAGCATGACATTTTATGACAAAACCCAAAACCCAGTGCTACATACGCTTTTGAAATCAGACGGACCATCCACTGGCCTCCACTTAGACCGTTCAAACACAGCTCTTAGGGATTCCTTCTCATGCCTCATCTTGCGCTTGAGAGCTTCCAACTCAGAGGTATCAGCTGTGGTACCCTTTTTAGGGGGACGAATGAATAATGCTTTAAAGGCCTCCAGGGCAGTTTCTTGGGGCTTTGGCTTGCAACTATGGGCTTCTCCAGGGCCGCTCCGGCTCTCCTGGACAGTGCTGCCGCCCATCTCTTCCTCCCTGGGCCGCTCAGGGTCTTCTGCCCTCAGTTCAGCTTTGGGCATGTCAATGTTGAGCAGCTGAGAGAGTTGCTCCAGGAGAGTGGGAGTGGCCTTCGGATCTGTTGTTTTCTCCCCAGTCGTCACTGTGTGCAGCCCTGTCTGCACTAAGGACTTCTGAACAGGTTGGGTCAATTTGAGCAAAGCCAGGTCTCCATCCTTGGGTTTGATTTCAGTGATGGTCTCCCCACCTTCAGAGATGGCCCCCTTCTTCAGCACACGAAGTCCACTAAAAAAAGCTGGAAGCTGGAAAGCCTTGTCTCCAGAGACTTCTTTTTTGGAAGCACTCTCAGTGATACCAACAGGCAAGTTCTGGTCTTGCAACAGGCAAGGTAGGACCGGGGAAGCTTCTCCAGCTTGATCCTGACTGGGGTTGTGTTCAGACTGACGGTCCCCATCACCAGATTCCAGGTTGCTACTTAGCTCATATGGAGTCCTTTGAGATCCTTCCAGACAGAGCTCTGCATCATCTGTTCCCCCAAGGGGAGTATTTTCTTTATCCCCTCCTGAGCTTTCTTTGGGCTCCTGAAGTGGCTCAGATAAATCAACAGCAGGGGGCTTGGAGTCACTGGTACTGAGCCCCTCTTCTGGCTCCTGGTCACCATCATCAGAGTCTGAATCACTGGTGGTATTCACCAGGGTCCCATGCACCACAATGGTGTCATCTCTGCTCACACTCAGAATCCTGAGTGGAAGCAGCTCTTGACCAGGGAGAGAAATTCCTGTCTCTGCTGGCCTCTGACCTCCCTCTAACTCCATCTTCCTGTCTATGGCCACGCTTGCAGTCTCCCCATCATTTCCAAGGTCAGGAGGAACCCGAGCCTCTGTCTCCTGCTGATGAAAGCCATTCCTGGTCTTGTCCAGCTGCCGCTCAGGGTCCACGGCCAGCTTGTGGAATGCTTTCAGTACTGCATCTTCCTCTTCAGGCTTCGCAGATTCCAGCTTATTCAGAAACCCAAACCGGGTTTTCATGGAGAACTTGCTCAGGATCGACTGAGCTATTTCAATTCCAGCTTCAGGTTTTTCTGGTTCTGAGACATCACTGCCATTCAGAGAGCTACTAAAGTCCTCCATGTCCCAGTCAGGCCCTCGGCGGGGGCTGTGACTTCGGTTACCTGCCCCACTCTCACTTTATCCACTCCATCGGTTCTTAACTTACAGGGTAGAGAGCAACAGGACCCAGGGGCCAGACTCCTCAGCAGTCACAGGCACAGCGAGCGCACTTGGTCCCTTTCAGGTCACTCACTGTGCGCTTCCGGTGTGGGCGATGGTGGCCCAGAGCAACTATTAAAAGTTCGTGGAGCTTTATGCCCAGAAGCAGCGGAGGCTGTGCACCTTACTACACTCTGACTGGGGAGGCTGCTCCTCTAAGACTTCCGTATTTATTTCGGTCGACAAAAGGCTTTTTGTCACCGGGAAAGGCAGCGAGCCTTGGGTCATCCTGGCGGAGGACTTCAACATGAGCTCCGCCCCGGGTGCCCGCGGTTCCCCTGGTTGCTTTCAACTTCCTCATTGGCGAGCAACTCCAGGCTTCTGGAAGTGCTGAGCCGGCAAGCTGATCCTGACAGCCTTCGAACACCCCCCCCTCCCCCCAGCAGCCCTAGAAATTCAGAAGTGAATCAGCAGAAACGGACTAAAAAACTTCTTAAGGGCCCTCTTTTGCCATCTAAATTAAAATCAGAAGCTTGTGCCATCCAGGAGGAAAAAATAATCTCACACAACAACAGATCAACAGTCACTTAGAAAGCCAAAGGGGAAAAAAAGAAAAAGAAAAGAAAAGAAAAGAAAAGGGATCATCCCCAAATGCCCAGAAATCTCATAAGCTGTTAGGTTAATGCCTTGAAGTTCTTTAACTGCTTTCTTCCGCTCCCTGCAGGTTTCATCTGGAATGCAGATTTTAGCTGTTGGGGCCAAAGACAGAAAACCCACAGGACTGGTTTCAGATTACAGCCGTTTTAGCTCTGCCCTGGTGCTCTACTAACAGGTACTTAGGCGAGCACGCCCACCACACCCAGTGTCCACCAGCGTTCCAGTGACAGAGTCAACAGTCCAAGCCTAGCAGAAGTGATTACCCTCCAAGCTAGTGCCAATCAGCAGCTCTGACTTCCTGGCTTTCCTAGGAATCCTGGCAGCAGGTAGGGCACCCCTCTCTGCTTCAGTGTTCCAACCAACCAAGTGAAAGCTGGCATGATACAAGGTAACACACAACCTGCCTTGTTAGGCAAAGCAATTCATTAAAGGTCTCCAGGGAGCCACATGTCCCCGAGAAGCAAAACATCTGAAAGGTCTCTATCACAGACCCAATTTGCCTAGAACAAAAGCAGAACATACAAAACAACCACCCAACATCGGCTCAGCGAGATTTCTAATGCCGAACCTGGGAACCTGGCAAGTAAAGACATGGAAAAATTGCAGCTCTGTTTCCTAGCTGCCTACTTGCCTCTTGGGACAGCTTCCTGTCATACCTGAAGGTCTCAGTGTCTTTCAAATACAGTCCAGTCTACAGGCCTTTGGGAAGCACCTGTAATGGACAAGGCACCGTGCTGGACCAGGGAGGGGCTGAACAATAATCACCAGTTCTCCTTAAGCAAAGCTGCAAGAAGACTGTGTCCTATGTTGAAAATGACAATTTATTCTACAAAACAGAATCTCTGGCCCCAAGAAGAACTACAGTCTTGTTTTATCTGCATCAGGGGATGGCTGTGGGTCTCTGGCTGATAAGAAGAACCCTGTTCCTGATTAAGTGTAAGTCTGAGAAATTCTCATTGCAATAATGCATTTCCACCAATGTGTTCAAACTGAACAAATAAAAAGCCTCCATATTATTATCTCTCATTTGCCGCTTAGGAAAAAGTTAAAACAGAAATTCTCAGTCCCTAATCTGACCTATGCCTAAGTAAATACTTTTACTTTCTCCTGATCCTGGTATAGATGGGGGTAATTTACAAGGGTACACAGTCAAAGGCCACCAGAACACTCAGAAAAATGCAAGGGGACCTTTAAGTCGCAGAATAAGCTTCCTGCCTAGCAGAAATACTCATTGATAAAAATCAGACTTCTGCTTCTTCAAGTGAGTAAAAGGGGAGTCCTCACACCAGACCTTAAGATCATCTTAAGAACTATGAACACTCTCCAGTATGTGGTGAGGGCAGGAGACAAGGCACATGTTTATGCTGATTTATTTTAACTGAGAAGACTCTATTTTCTCATGTATAACTAAGTGTTGAGTTCCAGAATAAATTTCCAGCATGTTCAGCAGATTAGAATGTAGTAGGACAAAATGTGGGCAGTTTGGTATACAAACTGCAAAGGATTGTTGGCCCCTCTACAGTTAAGTGTGGGGCAGAATACCACCAATTCAATTTTGGATAGTGGGTTAAGTCTTAGGTCCCTGGAGATGACTTGATCACAGTTCCTTGGTTTGAGAAGACAAGGTATTATTGGGTTTATTTTACAAGTTGAGCAGCCATTGCCAAGAGAATACAATTGACTCAAGTTGCACAGAATGTAGTAAGT